GACCCGCTTCTAAACATATACACAGAACCGCTCGTTTTTCATGATTTTCGCCTCGCCAGGGGTCGCCCGGACGCCCCTTCTGGCTGACTTCCGGGCTCGCCTTCGACGCCGTTTTCGGACACGCTCTGGGCTCCATTTTACACGACTTGGGGCCCAGCTTGAGCACCGAAACGAGGCCCAACACGGCCCAGAACCGGCCAAGTCTTTACCGGAAGACGGACGGGGCTGCGGTCCAGTGCGGGGATGCTCGCGCTGGGGTCGTCTGGAAGCCCGCCTGGGCCGCCTCGGGCCCGTCTTGGGCCCCTTTGGGGCCCTTATCCGGGCCCTCTTCGGCCCTTGTCGGCACCTTTGGCGCCGTTTGCGGGGCGGCTCTGGCTGGTCTTGGGCAGCGTTCTGGCTCTCTCGGGCCTCCTGCTGTGGATGAGGAGCGAAGGTCAAGACGGCCAGCGTCCGTACCGACGACAAGTCGACAAATAGAACATCGGTCAGCCAGACGGCATACCTGAGTCCCACCGACGATGGGATGGAGGAGGAATTGAAGGCATGACAAAATACAAAACAGACCTGTGCGGGAGTCACTCACTTCTTTCGGGATGAAATCATCCCGTCTTGGCGCCATCTTCGTCTCTGGGTCTAAAATTACGTTCGGCTGCGTTTCTCCCGTCTTGGAACCGTCTTCGCCTCGTCCGGCGAGACCTGGAATGGGCGGGCGGTGACCGCGAAGCGTCTCGAATAACTTCTTCCCGTCGCACTCCGAAGCCAGTTATTAGGGCGGGCCGGGCGTTTCGCCTGAGACTTCCTCACCATTTCTGACTCTGAAGCGTAAGAAGCGACAACAGCTTCATAAATGGAGGGCGGGTCGTTTTCAAAATGTGGCTCCCGCATTAGCGCCGCGCACATTCGTCCTATCCTGACAAATTGCAAGAGTTTCACGGATTGAAGGCAGGTGGTTTTCAAAATGTGGCTCTCGCTTTCGCGCCGCACACATTTGTTTTAAATATTTGCAAGAGCTTCACAGATTGAGGGCGGGTGGTTTTCAAAATGTTGCTCTCCCCTCAGCGCCGCGTACATTCGTTTTGAAAATTTGCAAGAGCTTCACGCATTGAGGGCGGGACGTTTTCAAAATGTTGTTCTCCCCTCAGCGCCGCGCACATTCGTTTTGAAAATGTGCAAGAGCTTCACGCACTGAGGGCGGGACGTTTTCAAAATGTTGCTCTCGCCTTAGCGCCGCGCACATTCGCTGTGAAAATTTGCAAGAGCTTCACAGATTTGGGGCGGCTCCTTTTCAACATGCGGCTCTCGCCTTAGCGCCGCGCACATTCGTTTTGAAGATTTGCTAGAATTTCACGGATTCCCATGATCAGCGTACCAGACACCGTGTTTTTGGGAGGATTCAAGCTTCTACGGGCGCAACAGTAATGATGATTCGCGGGGTTGTGAAGTCCCAAAAATGGATATCTGGCACGATTCCGGATCGTCAAGAAGCAGCAGTCAGGTTGATTCGTGGCGTTGGAATCCCGAAAATAATGGTTTGGCATGCTTCAGGATCTTCAAACGGTTGTCTTCCAACGAAGCAATTCCCTCAATGGAAATGAACCGTTGTAGGACATCGTTGATGACTCTTGGGTGTACACTGGTCCTCCTCCTCTTCCTCCTCCTCCTCAACCGTCCGGGCCGAACCAGCGCGCGGGCGGGCCGAGCCGAAGGCAGCCATCTCCTCATCGTCCTCCTCCTCCCCCTACCCCCCCCTCTTCCCCGTTCTCGCCCCCTCCCCGCTCCCACTCCGCTTCCCTCACCTCTTTCCCTCCTGCCCCTCCCTCGTCGCGCTTCTCTTGTCATTTTTGCTCCCGCTCCTGCCCGCGCTCCTGGTCCTCAGTCCTCCTCCTCCTACTCCCCTCCTCCTCACCTCTCCTCCACCTCCTCCTCCTCACCTCCTCCTCCTCCTCCTCCTCCTCCTCCTCCTCCATCCTCCTCCTCCTCCTCCTCCTCCTCCTCCTCCTCCTCCTCCTCCCCGTCCTCCCGCTTCCCAGCCACGCCCCCCCCGCGCCCTCGTCATCGTCCTCCCTGCTCTCCTTTCTCCTCTCCCACTCTTGCCCCTTCCCCTTACTCGTCCGTTTGTTTGTGTCCTCCCCCTTCTCGCCCGCCCCTCGCCCTCCTCCCCTCCTCCTCCTCCTTTCCTCGTCCTCCTCCTCGTCGTCCTCCTCCTCCTCGTCGTCCTCCTCCTCGTCGTCCTCCTCCTCCTCCGTCATCCTCCTCCTCCTCCTCCTTATCCTCCTTCTCCTCGTCCTCCTCCTCGTCCTCCTCCTCCTCCTCCGCATCCTCCTCCTCCGTCCCAAATAATTCGGCGGCCTGGTCCGGCGATCCCACATAAGGCCCACATAGGGTCCACATAAGGCCCGGCGCGGCCCGGCCCCCCCTGGACCTCCCCCCGTCGCCCTCCAGGGTCTCGTCATCGTCGTCGCAGCCGCCGCCGTCGTCGTCGACGCCGCCACCGCCGCCGCCGCCGTCGTCGTCGCCGCCGCCGCCGCCGTCGCCGCCGCCACCGCCACCGCCGCCGCCGCCGTCGTCGCCGCCGCCACCACCGTCGCCGTCGTCGCCGCCGTCGTCGTCGTCGTCGCCGCCGCCGCCGCCACCGCCGTCGTCGTTGTCGTCGCCGTCGTCGCTGGCGCCGCCGTCGTCGTAGCCGCCGCCGCCGCCGTCGTCGCCGCCGCTGCCGCCGCCGTCGTCTCCGCCGTCGTAGTTCCGCCGTCGCCGCCGCCGCCGACGTCGTCGTCGACGTCACCGCCGCCGCCGCCGTCATTTTCGTCGTCGTCGTCGCCGCCGCCGTCGCCGTCGTCGTTGTCGTCATCGTTGTCGTCGTCGCTGCCGCCTCCAACGCGGGCGTCGGTAGTCGTTGGTCGTCGTCGCTGCCGTCGTCGTCGCCGCCGCCACTGCCGCCATCGTCGTCGTCGCAGCCGCCGCCGCCGCCGACGTCGTCGCCGTCGCCGTCGTCGTCGCTGCCGCCGACGCCGTCGTTAGTCGTCAGTCGTCGTCGCAGTCATCGTCGCCGCCGCCACCATCGTCGTCGTCGTCGTCGCCTCCGCCACTGTCGTCGTCGTCGCCACCGCCGTCGTCGTTGTCGTCGCCGTCGTCGTCGTCGCCGCCGTCGTCGTCGTCGTCGCTGCCGCCGCCGCCATCGTCGTTAGTCGTTACTCGTCGTCGTCGTCGTCGTCGTTAATCGTCGTCGTCGTCGTCGCCGCCGCCGCCGTCGTAGCCGTCGTCGTCGTCGTCGTCGTCGTCGTCGTCGTCGTCGTCGTCGTGGTCGCCGTCGTCGTCATTGTGATGGCCGTAGTCGTCGCCGCCGCCGCCGTCGTCGTCGTCGTCGTCGCTGCCGCCGACGCCGCCGCCGCCGTCGTGAGTAATTCGTCGTCGTCGCCAGCGCCAGCGTCGCCGTCGTCGTCGTCGCCGCCGCCGCCGCCGTGTCGTCGTCGTCGTCGTCGTCGTCGTCGTCGTCGTCGTCGTCGTCGTCGTCAACGAAGCAGCATCAGCCATACCCGGCGACTTGTGGGCCCAAACGCTTGTGATGCGATGCGTTCCCCAGACATCCGACGTCTCGATGTTTTCAAGACACGGGCCCCCGACATCCCGACCACTTCCCCGGGGCCGGTTTTTCATCCCGAGCCGTTTTTTGACGGTCCCGAGGCCCGGCGAGGGCCCCGAGGGGCCGAAAGCGACGATAGACCTCCGTCTCGATGTTTTCGAGACGCCCGATGTCTGGGTTTGCCTCATATTTCTGCCACTCGACTTCCTCAAATGTGGCCGTCCCTCAAGCGGGAGCTTCCTTCTGAGAGTCTTCGCGCCGCAAGCGCTCACCAGAGCCCACCGGCACCGCCCTTCGCCCGGCCAGGGTGCCACCGGAGCCCACTGGCAGCGGGACTGGCGTCAGGTTAGGTGCCCAGCGTCGGGTTATAGTCGGACTTCATTGGACAGGACACGCGAGAGGACACAAGACCCTTCCGAGGGCCACATTGCCGCAGGAAGGCAGGAGGCGCGGGTCGCGAGGCACAGGACACGAGGCTGCCCTTGATTTGGCAGGGTCGACCTACTAATCCGGGCCGACTGTAGTGGGGGGGGGTCGTACGGGAAGCCTGGGGTTCAACTGAGGACGAGATTACACCCTGCGAAATGCTTAAGAAATCATGGGTTAAGAAATTCATAGTCTCAGAACTTGAATAAATACCCAAAAGTCCTATTAAAATCTTAGGATTTACATTGAAACATTAAGAATCATCGAGACTATGGCCGAAGACGTAAGTTTTCTTAAGCATCGCCTGGAGCGTACGCAAGAAAGGCGTCAGCGGGGACGGGGTATTCTTCTTCGTCGCCGTCGTCGTCGCCCGCCCTCCGCCTCGCTCCTCATCTTGCTCCTCACCGCCCTCGGCATCACGTTCCTCATTCTCCTCCTCCCCCCCCCCTCATCCCATTGCTCCTCCTCCTCCTCCTCCTCCTCCTGCTCCTCCTCCTCCACTGTCTCCTCCTCCTCCTCCTCCTCCTTCTTGCCCTCCGCCTCGTCCAACTCCTCCTCCTCCTCCTCCTCCTCCTCCTCCTCCTCCTCCTCGTCCTCCTGCTCCTCCTCCTCCTCCTCCTGCTCCTCCTGCTCCTCCTGCTCCTCCCCCTCCTCCTCCTCCCTCTTCTCGCCCTCAGCCTCGATCTCCCTGTCCTCCTCCTCCTCCTCTTCTTCTTTCTCTAGGCCCCAGGGGCGGGAAGTGCCCCCGAGTCGCCAAATTCCTGGGGAAACAGAACTTATCTTGCGACACTGGAGGCGGAGACGCAAGAGACCTCCATAGAAGTCTCCAGAATGGGGTCAGAAAAGACGGGGTCGGAGGATCGCATCGCCTATGCATCGGCGATACATCGGAGAAGTCGGCGATGCATCGGCGCCGTCGGCGTGGATAAATCGGGCTCAACATCGAGCCGCACCGCAGATGCGTAGACGAGACGGCGCGATCCTCCGCCCTCATCTACTCGGATCCCACTTGGGAGGCCTGGACTCCAGCACCTCCCCAAGACCACCCTCCGCCCTGGGGGATCGCGGCGGACCCCTTCGTGAGCTCTTCGGCGCAAGGCTTGTGGAAATCCTTGCGCCTGCTCTCGCAAATCTCCTCTAAGAGCTGGTCCCAGCTCTTGCGGCCGCTCTTCGTGCTCATTCCGCGCGCCTGGGCCTCCTGGATGATATCCTTGAAGGTCATGTGCTTGATTCCTTGGCCGACGGTTGACCATCGAGTGTGTATGAACTCACGATCGATGCTTGCCACATGTCACAACATCTTCCGATCCACAACTTGAAGCTCGTCCCGGATCGGGCAACACTGGCCTGACGATGTTGCCGCCTTTTCTGCGAACGCCGGGACACGCACGCGTACAGTGCGTCGATGGTTTCGACGATTTGCATGACAACTTTTATAGCCCAGTAGGGGAGGACACCCAGAATAATTACGAAAACAATCCTGCCAGCCCTTTCAGGCGTGAGTGGTTGAGGGAGCTTCCTCTTTCAAATCCCTTCTTCCCCTTCGGGGAGGAGTTTACTCTTCCCCATACCCCATCCACCTGATCCTGGATGGGGGGGATCGCGAGGGGTTAGAGCGTCCACTATGACCTCGGCGAGAAGACCCAGATCACTAGATTTCCTCAGCTTTCGACAACAATTGGGCCTTCTGGGGGGGGGGACGCTAATTAGACCCCCCCTTCTCTGATCGAACTTATCCAAGATGGTCCCAAGATGGCCCCCAAGGCTCCCAAGAGAGCCCCAACAGAGGGTCTCAAGAAACGCCCAGGAGGCCCCAAGAGGCCCCCAAGAGGGCCCTCTTGAATCATATGGGGAGCCTTCTGGGCCGTCTCTGGGCTTTCTTGGGAGCCTCTGCGGCCGTGATCTGAAGGGCCTCTGACGCCGTCCGGGACCGTGGGGAGGCGGGACATGCGAGAGCGCAGACATTCTTGCAAAAACATCGGGTAATGAAGGTTTTCGGCTTCTGGGGCCCTTTGGAGGGGCCTCTGGAGGCGCCCTTGGGGCGTTTTGGCGGCGTCGTCGGCCGTCCTGAGGCCATCTTCGGCGTGTCCGGGGCCTCTTGGGACTGTCTTGGCAATATTTAGGGCCCTCTTGGCGTGTCGTGGCGGGTTTAGGAGCGGGCCCGGGCAGTCCCGGGAGCCCTGGGACTCCCCCAATCCCCCCATGGGGGGATACGGCACCGGCCCGGCTCCCCCCACCCGGCCCACTCCTATGTATGTTTGTGTGTATGTATGTATGTATGTATGTATGTATGAATGAATGAATGAATGAATGAATGTATGTATGTGTATTTACATATATGTATATAATATATATATATATATATATATATATATATATATATGTGGATTCGTGTGTATATATATATATATACAGATGCATATACATATACATATACATATACACATACATATACATATACATATATATATATATATATGTGTATACCAATGTGTATATACAGTACACATACACACATACATATATATATATATATATATATATATATATAAATATAAGTATACATATACAGAACAAGTGTGGGTGTTTCATGTGGGCGGTGGTTAATTCAGTTCTTGCGTATCGCACGTCAAAGACGATGATGACGAGCGAACCTCAGCTTGAAAACCCCATGCGGAGAGAGAAGTGGCGGAGAACCGAAGCGGTCTAAATTGCAAGCGGGAGGGGCCAGAAAAACAAGGGGCTACGGAGGAAGCTGTAATGGCAACGGGACTCACCGCTCTGGATCCTAAACTTTAAGACTCCAGCCCTGAAAAGGTTTGCAGGGCGGCAAAAGGTGCGTGCTGGAAAAAGAATGCGCTCGAGATGACTGGCGCACGCGAATCTAGAAGGCGAACACGGTTTGGACCATCAGGTCGGCCAGCCTCCTGGGGAAGGCGGCGGCGGCGGCAGTCCACATCAGCCCTGGAGACGCCATGCCTTCCAAGACGACGAGTTGCCTTCCCAGAAAAGGAGCAGCACCGTGTGGCACTGCGACGGAGCAGGGAGAGTTTGGACAAATCCTCGGGGCAGCTACTGGAAAACAGCAGCTTGGTTCCTAAGCGCCACTTGGCACAATGACTGCGTCGGTCCAGAGCGACGGGATGCCAGTGAAACTTACCACTCTGGGAAATCAGCTCAAGAACGTCGAATTAATTGGGCGGCGTTCGATCGTCGCTGGCATATTCGCGCGACAGAACAAATTCAACAACCACGCCGACGCTAGACAAAAAATGCTACCAAACTTTAGTTTGTCACGCTGCCGACAAGTAAACGAAACGCCGGGCGTGTCCCATGGATGCGGTTCCGCGCGCACCTCGCGGTCTTTTTCTCTGCCACCGCGCCCCAGGATCCGCGCGGGGAGGCCGAGCCTGCAGCTGCGATCTCGCCCCGCAGCACTGGAGGGGCCCCAGGACACACAAATAAATACACACAAATGGAACTATTCCGCACATGTTCCCATAATTTCTGGGGTTTTGGTCTTCCCCCCCACTCCCCATGTTTTCCCATATTTTCCCTGGAATCGATGATTCATTGTGTCTGTGTGTTTTTCCCCTCCTGAAACGCCTGGCCCCGGAGGCGCTCGCGGACGGCCGGGCGACGCAGGTCCTCATGCCGGCGCCTCCAGCGCGCCGCGCCGCGCCCAAGGAGCCGCGGCCAGCGACGCCGTCAAACGAGGCCTTCCCTTGCCAGTGGCGCCCCGCAGGCGCGGGCCGACCAGTCGAGCGCGACGCGGTGCCATGTTCGCGAGATGTCTTCCGCGCAGCGACTCCTATGAAGGGGAACTGGGCCACACAAATAAATACGCACAAACAAAGAGATCCCCCATGTTTTCCTGTCCTACACCTTCTGGATTTTGGCCTTCCCGCCCAATTCCCATATTTCCCCTATTTTCGTGGCACCCGACGATGAATTGTGTCTGTGTGTGTCTTTCCCTCCTGATCCTGTCTCGAGTATGGCCCAGCTCTCCCAGGGCCTGACGGTCTCGTGGCACGTGGTGGCCCCGGCATCGACGCCCCGCGCGCGGGCCGAACGCCTGACCCTGCACGCCAGCCTGTCGGCGCCGACCGCGTGGGCGGGGTGCCCCGCTGCAGGGGTCGTTCGGCCGTCCGCGCCAGGGCGCCCAACGCCGCAAAAGAAAATGCGCTGGCACAGGGGTGGCCATGGCCAGAGGCGTCCGCTACTTGCTGTCCGAGCTCCCGTGGGCGCCTGCCACGGCCGCCCCCGAACCCACGACAGGCCCGTGGCCCAGAACATTCCCGTCCCCGGCGACGCGCGGCGTGGGCTCGACCCAGGTCGGCCCCCCCAGCCCGGTGAACTTCCCTGGCGAGAGCGCGCGCTGAGCGAGAGCAGGCCGAACGCGCCCAACAACCAGCAACGGGGCACGCCCAGCCGCTCAGCCAGGACGGCCCAGAGCGCGAGGGTCCGCGGATCGCGTTCCCACGCCTGCGCGCGTCTGCGCGGGCCCTGCAGCGCTCGCGGGTTGGCCCTCGGCAGCCCGCGGGGGCCACTCGCGCCCAAGTCGAGCGCCATGTGCATCGGATGACATGCGCCCCCTCGGCGGCCGAGGTGGCCGCCGATCTCAGGGGGCGCCCGCGGCCAGCACGGGCCTCGAGGCCCAGATGGCCTCGGGGGGGGGGGGGGGGGGGGGGGGGGGGGGGGGTCGCCGCCCGCCGCCGCGATCGTCGCCTCCGCGAGAAAGCAGGACCAGCGATGTCGAGACCGCCTCCTCGGTCTGGGCCCCATTCTCTGAGAGGCGCAGCGCCCGGCGCGGAGCGCGCTCGCGGCTTTGCCGCCCGCGGGCGCCTCTCGCGCCGCGGCCGCCGACGTCGATCTGCGCCCGCCTCCCGCAGCGGGCGGCCAGGCCGTCGGCGCCCCTCTGCGGTCAGCCCCGCTGGGCGCGCCGACGGCCTCCTGAGGGTGCCCTCGCGCCCAAGGCGGATATCGCGCCTGGCTCGGCACTGGAGGCGATCCGAGCGGGCCGCGTGGCCGACCACCCCTCGCAGCGAACGGGTGGGCCACGGCGGCCGCGGAGGTGCCGCCGACGGCGCGGGGCGGGGCAGGAGCGGCATCGGCACCCAACGCAGTGACCAATAGAAAGAAAGAAGAGCGGCTGCCGCGGCCATTCTGCCCCCCCAGAGGCAGCCACGCCGAGCATCGAGCTCGCGCGCGAAAAAAAAACTGCCCCGCTGAATCCCCCCGGCCCAGGGTCGGAAATTTTGAGATCCGAGGGGCCCGCCGCGCCAGGAGCTGCAGGCCCCGGGAAAACAAGCGGGCCTGAACGCGTCGAGTGACGACCAAGAGTCATGGCATCTACAGCGATTGACCGCCCCGAATGACGAACAGGCTATCGGCCAGAATCAGCCGCCCCAATCCGCGCCCCCCTGCGACGCGGCCAGGCGCTCGACCGCCGCGGACAGGGCCACGAGGAGAATACCTGCATCGAAAAGCCACCGTCGCACATCGCAGGTCCGCCAGAAACTAATCGCGAAAGGCCTGGTGGGGGTCTCGGCAAAAGAAGGCCTGGCGACCAATCCCCGTCGGCTCTCGGGTAGGCAGCGCCCTCGGTCGCCTGCCCCGCGCCCGGCGAGTCGCGCCGGAAGCCCGCCGCCGCCAGTGCGGACTAGCGGGCGCTCCAGCAACCCGAACGCCAGATGTGCGACCCCAGAAGCCCACCCGCGGGAGCCGGCGTCCTCTGCGTCGCGGGCGGCCTCGGCGATGCCCATCCCATCGACGGAACTTTCGGTCTCAGACACCATCGGGTTCACTGCCTCGCCCAATCGTTCTCCAGGAAAGTCACGAGTCCCTCGGAGGGCCTGCTCTCCTGGCGGCGCTCGTCCCACAGGTAGGTGGCGCCGCCCGTGCACTCGTGCATGAGCGCGCGCGGCATGCCGCGCAGAGAGGCTGACCTCGCCGGCCAGTCCAGCGAAAGCGCAGTGGCCCTCGACCACCTCCAGCGCCCAGCTCGAATTCGGGCCATCGAAATGGCCCATCGGATCAGCCACCACCTCTCGGGGATCACCCGAAAGCAGAATGCTCCTCCCTCCAGCTCTATACCCGGGGTCTTGGCATCCTCGACGGTTGCGGACGACTCGTGCGCATCCGGCCCTGGGTTGGCAAAGTGCCGGTCCAAGTCGCCAGTGGCTTCCTGGTCCTCGTGGCGCTTGGCGAGCAGCGCCCCCGCTGCGTCCGCG